GCCCGTTGAAATGAAATAAATATCTGTGTAGCTCCTGTGACTCGTAAATAGACCGAGCAATTTTTATTTCGCAGAAATAAAGTCTAGTAACGACTAGACTGCAAAACTTTATGCAAATTCCTGTTTCCATGAACTCTTTCATAAAAATCTGAAGGCGAAAATTGTTAATCAATTATTAATTACTTTAGGTATCCGATATTCGTTAAGCTCGCTTCACACATGGAAACGTCGTTCCATGGCATAGTGGCGCGTGTGCATCGTGTTAGCACGCCACGTCACTGGCGTTGTAACGTGAACACATTAAAAAAATGAATTGAGCAATCGAACGAGAATCGTTTAGCGGATGTGTTATAATTAAACGGCGGATGTTTATGAAGAATTTTATTTTTAGAGATGCGAAAATCCCTGTTAAATAGGCTTTAATTATCGTTGTGACGTCACGGTTGCGGTTCTTTCAGAGATACATTTATATTCGATGGGTGCAGTTATTATCGCGTAGATGTTCTTTTTCAACGATACAAAGAGGCGAAGTTGCTCGATAAATCCATTTTTCACTATCAATCGCGTACAAGCAGTGCTTAGACGCATGATTCGTATTTAATTGAATTAAGAACGCGAACTTTCCACGAGCCGAACCGATTTTCGTGCGTGGAATCGACTTAAGTTGCTCCGTCGGTGGGGACGCGAGTTTCCTGTCGGCAGCCAGCAGTTCGTAGGCAATGAAAACGTGCAGGTCGTTGTGTAATTGAATATTCTTTAATTACTAATAAGAGCAAGACAACTGTTCTGCGTCAATTGTTCTAATTCATCGCTCGTAATGCCGTACGCGTATCGCCGCCTAAGTATCGGAGGCCATTAAAACGTGCCCGCGCGGACGGTTCTTTCTGTGGTCTGACTGCGCCAACAGATGGTCGGTGACTTTTATTAAAGTTATTTATTACATCGGTCAAGAGATCTTTTGGCATCGGGAGGCGCTTGAGCGTAACACGTAACCAACTATACGCGCCGCGCGTCACGGGACATTGATTCTTTTGGATCATGCGAACAAATGGGGAACAAAGTAGTGAACAAACGCGTTGCGTCCTGGCCGTTGACAAATACTCGGATTATATTTATTCGACGTCTCTAGTCGCGAGATTTTGAAATCATCGCGGAGACGAACTTTAACACTTTCTGACCACGATTCGATTTTACTACGTGAATGACAAGGACGAGGTCTTAACTGGCTTTCATTACGGCACTTTTATAATATTTTATAGACGGACTCTCGCGCGGAAGAACATCATTTGAGCCGTTTATTTTGAAAGTGGCATGAGTCACTTTACCGTAATGAAAAGTGGTGATTTTTTAATGTTTATACGAAATTATTTATACTGAGAAAAATATCAGTGTCCTGAGATAACAAATACAAGTAAATCTTCTCGACAGTTGGCATCCATATTTTTAAACGTGTTAAAACGCTCTTAAAACCCTTAAATATATCGACTTGAAAACAAAGTGACTTATGCCACTTTCAAAATAAACGGCTCATTTATAACTACGGAAGCCATCGAAATCGTCGACGAGATCAACGACGACTGTTTGGACAAACAATAAACACCCGATGACTTCATTTGCCTGTAACACAGTCGTTTCAGCTTTCTCAGCTCGGTCGTTTTTATTACAAAACGGACGTCGCTTAAGAAAAAAAACAAAAAACAAAAAAAAAGAAAACGCGTCATGTAACACCGGCGTTCGGCGTCCCACGGCTTCAAAATTGACGATGATTCACGATTAACCTTTACCGCCGGCAAAGGTTGTTTATTACTTGTTACTTAATACTAATCACAGAAAAGAAGAGGCATTTGCGGCCCGACAGGAGAACAACCGCGGCAACAGATTGATTTATTGTCTTGAGAGAAACGCGCGACCCGCTCAATCGTCGCCGCGAAAGTCCGAGCAGCTTATTAGCCGCCAGTGATCACGATTAATTTCACGGGGACCCGCAGTTAACATGCGTGTCACGCTCCCGTTTTGTTAATTATCCGATGATTTATCGCCGCGTGCCAGCTGTTTCGGAAAACCTCGTCGATGAGTACCGCTGCACTTTCAGAATCAATTACGGTTCCGTTAAATCCTGCAACGTTCTCACAGATTTGTGTTTCACTTAATCGGTTTTGCCACGAGCGCGTAAGTTTACGCTACTCGTTATTAATAATCACTAAATCTTCTTAACATCAGAATTTTTTACGGCCATTTTTTAAACAAAAGATCCGTATGTTTCCTGGTTGAAACGATTCCGTTGCTGCGCAACAAATAACAGCATCCTCGATAATAAATATATATATATATTATTATTATTATCGTTATTATTATTTATTTTATATATATATATATAAAATAATAATAATAATAATAAAATAATAATATATATATATATATATATATAATAAATAATAATAACAATAAACGATAACAATCGTTTATTCTATTTAATAATGCATATTATAAATAAACAATCGGTCACTTGAATACCCTGTCCGACGGTAAACACCGTCACCCTCGCGGAGGATCATAGTCGCCGCGCGGTTCCAATCGGAAGAAAGTTCTTCGGCCGACTCCTGCCGATTCATCAACGTCTATTAAATTGATGAATTACTTTCGCGGCTAATGCACAGGCCGGCCGAATATTTACCGAATATATTTATCGATGTACAGAGCACGGCGGGCCTGGATGAATGGACGAAAGCCGGGCACAGGAGTGGAATATTAAGCTAACGCGACCGGAAGTGAGTCAGCGTTACGCGATATTACGCCACACGCAATTATGATGTAACGGGGGCCTCGGCAGCCGAAACTTGTTTCAGCTTTTGTTGTCAGTGGCCCCTCTCTCCCACCCACCTTCGACCGGACATCCTACTGTTATGAATCTCCTTTAACGACGCCGATTTATCGTGCTCGGACCGCGGCGCAGGTTTCCCCGTGGATCGTTAACACCGAAGCAGCGCGCCGCCGGCGACTTACGTGCGCTTGCTTCTCTGCCGGAAGCGTACGAATGACTTGTTTTTATTGTAAACCACGAGTCATTCAGGAAACAAAACGCGCAAATTCCACGGTCATTTGTATATTTTATGCAACAACGATTCGGATGATATTCTTCGAAATCATCGTACGCTCCGCGGTGTTCTACAGAAAGGGAACAATTGTAAGCGGTGTCGAGCGCGTGCCAAGAAGCTTTTAACGGCACCGCAAGCCAGTGACGAGAACAGGTTTTGTTGATTTTCACACGGTGCATGAGTTCATCGGTTCAGAGAGAATGCTAATTTGGGGAACGTCGAACACAAGAAGTTTCGTAAGAAATGATTTAAATCTTGGTGAACGGGAGAAAGACGATAGCTTTAAATGGGCTCACGGCAATGTTTAGTGTCCTGTTCATCTTGTACACGATAAATGAACGAAGTTGTGACCGAAATTCGTGAACATACTTCGGAGTTGCGCGGAATTACAATTGAATCATCCGAGGCATTATATTTGCAAAGTGATTCAATGACGCTGTAATTCGTAATTCAGATCGCCATTCAATTATATTACAATGCGATCGAATCGGGATTAATTCGACGTAATTGTATTAAAATCATGAATTAAAAAATACTGAATTAGTAGGTGATAGAAGAAGAAAATATATGTAATATATTATATATTATATATTATATATGTAATAATATAATATAATAATATATATAATAATATAATAATAATATATAATAATAATATAATATAATATATTATATATATATAATATATTATATTATATTATTATTATATATTATTATTATATTATTATATATCTGTCTCTTATACACATCTAGATGTGTATAAGAGACAGATATATAATAATATAATAATAATATATAATAATAATATAATATAATATATTATATATATATAATATATTATATTATATTATTATTATATATTATTATTATATTATTATATATCTGTCTCTTATACACATCTAGATGTGTATAAGAGACAGATATATAATAATATAATAATAATATATAATAATAATATAATATAATATAATATATTATATATATATAATATATTATATTATATTATTATTATATATTATTATTATATTATTATATATCTGTCTCTTATACACATCTAGATGTGTATAAGAGACAGATATATAATAATATAATAATAATATATAATAATAATATAATATAATATAATATATTATATATATATAATATATTATATTATATTATTATTATATATTATTATTATATTATTATATATCTGTCTCTTATACACATCTAGATGTGTATAAGAGACAGATATATTATATATTATATATGTAATAATATAATATAATAATATATATAATAATATAATAATAATATATAATAATAATATAATATAATATATTATATATGTAATAATATATATATATAATATACATATAAAAAATGTACTACACTTCTTCAAAGTTCTAGACTGTATTTGAAAAACAGTTGTATTTCAATTATTTTGTATTTCAATTGCATTGCATTTGAATTACACTCGTGATTAAAATAATTACCAATGGAATTGACTGAAATCTTTGAATCGTGTGCTTTAATTACGATGTAGTGAAATTTCTGTGTATTTGAAATATAATGCAATGAAATTGCGAAATTGAGTAATAACGTAATTGACATACTCTGACATACTTGACGACTTAAAAGGCACAGCGAATTGAAAATGTTCAGCAGAATCGACGTTCATTGCGAGTCGAAAGAGAAATGTTCACGGAATTCGTCATACCTAGTTCGCGAAAAATAAGCAAGTGATACCGAAGACGAGTAAACGCTCTAATAAAATATTCAGCGCAAACCAGTTCGAATCACCTGGCACTGGATCTGGTACAAAGGCTCGATGAAACAGGTGCTCCCGCCTTGTACGCACGGTAAAACAAAGTAGAGATTGTGGTCGTTCGAACAGGGTCGCAAATAAGGAGAAAGCAACGTTACCTTGCGTGGTTTTGCCGTAGTTCTGCGCTGTCTCGTGTCTACCCGTTGCTCCAACCTGAAAAACCAAGAAAAACGAACTCCATTAGCTTCGTCCCGTGACTCCGTTACTCATCTGTACATCCTCTATATAGGGCTCAACTCCTCGGACACGGAAAACTATCCGTTCTTCTATTAAATGTTGCGTACAATAAGAACTCATTCGCCCACTTTCTATTTAAAAGAACAGTTAACCAGATTATGCATCTTTATGCGTGTTTGCCACGCGCAGATCGATAAAAATAGGAAGAAACTTTCGCGTTAAATTGGCTAATGACGTTTTCACTTCGGTCATTAAAATTCATTTAGTAATTAATAACATTGATTTGCTTCGAAACCGGTGTAAAGTTTATTAAGCGAATAGCGCATTGCTTTCTCGATATAGTTAGCGCGACAGAAGAAAATATTAAACATCGTACTTTAAAGTTAAGCAGAGAATTAAATTACTATTAAATTTAATAAACGAATCATTCAATTATTTTGTGAAACATAAAAGAATATATATATTATTTATCGAATAACACTGCGTATGCGGTACATTTGTGACGAAAGATACGAACAATTTGAGGACAGCGATATTTTCAACTTATTAAAACGGTCGGGAAGAAATGTGCTGGGTACTGCGTTCTTTTTGCAACTCACGTTGCAAACTTTTGTTTCACAGTCTACTAATGATTATACAAGATGTAACGTTAACGCGACGCCACGGCGGATTATAAGGGTTGAAAAACGCGAGCCCGTCTCATGAAAATTCATTGTGCAGATGTTACGAGGCTCGCGCTCGCTGAAAAAGCATTTGTTTTTAGGGCCAACGGAGCGAATAGAGAACAGAAAGGTGTGGCTCAATTTATGCGGCGGGGATTTCTTACGAGCGGTTTGGAAATGAGTTCGAGGAACGCTTTCACTGAACGACACAATGGGCAAAACGGTGACAATAGCGATCGCGGGTGCGCGAAATCAATTCGACGCGGTTTTCACGGATCAACGACCCTCCTTGTTCTGTATTGTCGAAACCATTGATCTATTTGCATCGGTGGATCGGCAAATGATAATTAGCGCAGCCTACCGTGTGAAACGCCGTCAGCTTTTTACGGTTGTCGCTTCACTTTCACGAGTCGAACTACGATCGATGCAATTAGTAGACGCGAAAATAAACCTTCGCCCCACCTCGCTTTCCCCGCTGGTACTTGCTTTCGCGTGCAATTTATCGGACGCCGTTGAACAATGCCTCTGGGACCTCGGGAAAATCAAGAAGCGAAGCCTCGAACGATTTCGTGCGACGCTCAAGTTTCCGCGGGCGTCGAATTCACTTGCTTTCAATTTCTTGGAAGAATGATAAAAGATTACTTTCGGTTCGATCTGCATAATCCGAGAACGTTGTTACGATAATATTCGACGAATAGAAGGTATCTGTAAATAATTTGTCGCGACAAAATCATTTTAATTTAAAGAAGCAGTGTTAATTACTGCTATATAACTCTTTTTCACTGAAATTACCAACGACGTAGCAGCGACAAAATAAAGTCGTTGTAATTGTTTCGGTAAACAGCTACAAATGAATATCCAGCGAACGAGGTTACGAAATTACGCGCGCAGGATTCAAAGTGAAATCGATTGCAGTCTGCGTCGATTTTGTAGACTCGATGAATAACCGTGAAATGTCCAGTCGATAGGATCTTAATCGGATGAAACTAATTAAGCTAATTATCGCTAGCGAAGTGCGACGGTCAAAGTTCGAGCGGGCGTATGTGTGTGCAAGTGTCGCGTGAGTTCGTTGCAAATTTTCACATCGGTTAATCTACCGGTTGTCTCAGCCGGTTTTCCGAATTCTGGCAACCGTACGAGCGTGGTACGAAACCTTTGCAACCTGTGCTGCATGGAGGATTGCTGCGAAACAGTTAGCCACACCGAATTAACCGTAGGATGCGGTCATGAATTATTGTACCGGGAACCGCTACAATTGATAACTGGTATACAACATTATTTTCTGCTCAACTGAAACTGCTCATAACTTCACAATGTTAACCAGGAAGCGCGGCGTTTTCAGCCACCGATGTCTAGTACGCGGGCTTAATTCACTCCCAGCCGCGTTCCGCCTCCAAGACACAATGGTCGAAAGATAATAACTTCGACAAAGTTGTGCAACCCTTTGCACTCGAAGCCGTTTCGACGCGAAATCCAAAATAGCTTCACCGACCCGCGGTAATCATCCATTTTACATGACTCTTAGTGCATTTTGTGCGCGTGAAATTGAGTCTTGCGACTCGTCTCACAGTTTTCCCAAGTATAAACAAAGATAATGTAGAAACTATTTCGAAACGTGTTGCAACAATTTTTCGCAACGCCTCAGAGTCACCACTCGAGTGCAAAGGGTTGATATCGATAATTTCATCGGCCATAATTTCACAATTTTCCAATAGTTCAAGTCACCGAAAGCATCGATCATAAGATCTCCATTTTGAAAATTCGTTAACAACGTTACAATATTCTACAAAATGTTTCTTTCAGTGCGATATTCAATTGCAATGTTTCAAACGTGCAAAACGAAACGTGTTCTGCTATTTCTCACACAGTGAAAAGCGAAGAAGTGTAGAGAACGAGGTCCACGGTTTCGACGAGTCCTCGCGAAATCAGAAGCCTCGCGAAACGCGATCTCGTGACTCAGCCACCCCCGCCGACCCGAATCAATTTTTAAACCGAGCGAGATCGTCGGTCCGCGCGGAGACGGGGGCCGTGGAGACGGCGAAGAAAAAAGTCGGCGAGCGAGTGCAGGCGTGCATCGACGTTGAAACGCAATCGCGGATGCCGGCGCGGCATCAGAAATAGCCGGGCACCGGTAATAAAAGTTCTCGGGAGACGCACTCGTCGGCTGTCACCAATTACGGAGTTGTATGGGACGCAATCCCACGGACCGAAATATTGGAGGTAATTGCCTGGGATCGTGTTACGGGGAATCGCGACCCGCTAACTCGCGCCCCTAACCGATTAAACTGGTCGACTCGCGGTTTCTCCCCGGAAGCAACGATTGGTCGAGCGTTCGGATAATGGAGCATCGCGGACGCGATACGTCGAACAAAACTGAACGGTATCACATTGTGGTGAATTTTAAGTTTTCGAGTGCAGTTTTAATGGATGGAGGCTTGATAATGAAGCCAGGCAAAATTCTATAGGATTGTTGAACGAATTAGAATTACTATAGAATGTAGTTCGCTGAGGAGTATTATACTAGTATTATACTATTATTATACTATACTATTATATTATTATACTAGTATTATACTATACCTGTCTCTTATACACATCTAGATGTGTATAAGAGACAGGTATAATACTAGTATAATAATAGTATAATACTAGTATAATACTAGTATAATACCTGTCTCTTATACACATCTAGATGTGTATAAGAGACAGGTATAATACTAGTATAATAATAGTATAATACTAGTATAATACTAGTATAATACCTGTCTCTTATACACATCTAGATGTGTATAAGAGACAGGTATAATACTAGTATAATAATAGTATAATACTAGTATAATACTAGTATAATACCTGTCTCTTATACACATCTAGATGTGTATAAGAGACAGGTATAATACTAGTATAATAATAGTATAATACTAGTATAATACTAGTATAATACCTGTCTCTTATACACATCTAGATGTGTATAAGAGACAGGTATAATACTAGTATAATAATAGTATAATACTAGTATAATACTAGTATAATACCTGTCTCTTATACACATCTAGATGTGTATAAGAGACAGGTATAATACTAGTATAATAATAGTATAATACTAGTATAATACTAGTATAATACCTGTCTCTTATACACATCTAGATGTGTATAAGAGACAGGTATAATACTAGTATAATAATAGTATAATACTAGTATAATACTAGTATAATACCTGTCTCTTATACACATCTAGATGTGTATAAGAGACAGGTATAATACTAGTATAATAATAGTATAATACTAGTATAATACTAGTATAATACCTGTCTCTTATACACATCTAGATGTGTATAAGAGACAGGTATAATACTAGTATAATAATAGTATAATACTAGTATAATACTAGTATAATACCTGTCTCTTATACACATCTAGATGTGTATAAGAGACAGGTATAATACTAGTATAATAATAGTATAATACTAGTATAATACTAGTATAATACCTGTCTCTTATACACATCTAGATGTGTATAAGAGACAGGTATAATACTAGTATAATAATAGTATAATACTAGTATAATACTAGTATAATACCTGTCTCTTATACACATCTAGATGTGTATAAGAGACAGGTATAATACTAGTATAATAATAGTATAATACTAGTATAATACTAGTATAATACCTGTCTCTTATACACATCTAGATGTGTATAAGAGACAGGTATAATACTAGTATAATAATAGTATAATACTAGTATAATACTAGTATAATACCTGTCTCTTATACACATCTAGATGTGTATAAGAGACAGGTATAATACTAGTATAATAATAGTATAATACTAGTATAATACTAGTATAATACCTGTCTCTTATACACATCTAGATGTGTATAAGAGACAGATACTAGTATAATTAATTCCATTGATTACGCTAGTAAATGTAGATTTCTCGAGTGCAGTTTTATTCAATAAATATCTGATAGCGAAGCCAGAAAATTGCATAGAAACGTTGAACCGATTAGGATTACTAATTAGGATCAATTGGCTAAAGAGAAAATAGTAGATCCTTCAGTTTTCTCTATAAAACTAAATTACGTATACCGAGCTGTTAAATGCGAGAATGAAATTAAAGAAAGTATGTTACGTCCAACTAAATTCGACGGAAGTATTTATGCATTTCCTATAATCTAGATCCACCAATTAACAAGATCCGGCAATTTGTTCGACAAGCCTCCGTTTTCCAAACCAGCGGAAAACGAGTCGAATCGCTCGAAAGTAATCTCTCCGCTTCGTAAAATGCAACAATGAACACGGCGCGCTATT